TATGCATTAATGAAAATAAATCATCAAGACAATTAATCAATTAATTTCACTCAATTACCTTGACGGACGCCGTCCGCCCGTCGATGTTCTCTGCCACCAGGTGGTACTTTGCAACGCTGGGCGCGCGAACGAGGGCCTTGAGCGGCAGGCCGGACATCGTCTGTGAGGTCGCGTTGAAGGTCAGCCAGGAATCGTCCGGGATAGGGCTGCGATCCCGCGAGAGCAGCGAGAGGGAGAGCTGGCGCGTGCCGCCTCCCGCACCGTCGTCGAACGTGCGCGCGGGCACGCGGAATACAAACACCTGCCGGGAGCGGACGGTGAGGTCAGAGGTCACGCAGCAAGCACACTAACGTAAGGAGGGAGGGCGGGTTTTGCTCGATCATTCAGATATAAAAACAAGACTGACCACCCCAATGTGTTACTTGGAAAGCCCCAGGTTAAAATTGAAATGATTTTTGAATGGATTTTACATTACTTTTGGATCGGAACTAGACCAAGAGCACGAACACTTGATCAGAATTTCCGATTGTGTTTGAAATTAAGAGAATAAATAAATAGTACTAGAAAGATTTCGTTTAATAGTGTGCACGTTAACAGAACAGCAATTCAATTTAGAAACTGATTAAGGTTACATATTATATTTGCATACATTTATAATTTATCACAACATACCAAGAGTTTAATCCAAACACTTGAGACCAGTAGCAACCTTTTTTTCCCTTACATTAACAACGATATTCCCATATGAATCATACATGCAATTATTCCCATAGTAATAGTCCGCCCCCCCCCCTCCGTTAACAGTGACCCTAGGCCATAATAAAAATGTTTGACCTCACCCGACCGACCCGCCAAAAACGGGCAACTCCTAAAAGAAATTTAATCTTTTCTTTTTTTTGCAAATTGTATCACTGTATATATAATTATATCATTATATAAATCTGTAGGCAATACATTATATGTACCAATCAAACCAAACATTCAACATAAGAGGTATCTCCACACAAGCACACCCGAGCATGTAGACACCATGCTGAATTTGTAAAAAGACCCCTGCCCTCAAAAAAAAGCCGACCTACCTACCCAAACTTTTCAACCTGGGTCGGGTGAGGGCAAACAAATATTTTTTAATTGTGACCCTACCTCTCCCTGCATGGCTTGTAAGTCCTTCATGGGCTGAGCGACGGATGGCCGGGACTTTGGTTGTTTCGTGGGACCTCCCGGCTTCTTAGTCTTCTCCTAGAAGCGAGAGAAGCAGCGAGAGTGAGACCAACACATCGCGAGTCAGACACAGGGGGCGTGGAGAAATGGGCGATAGTGGCGCCATCGTGCGTCCGAGAGCTGAAATCGTCGAAAACCCGTTGAGAGCGTGAATCGGTTAGCGTCTCGGTATGGTAGCCGGCATCTGAAACAAATACGTGGACGCACAATCATCGATGTCATAGCACCCATGCTGGCGGCTGCTGGCAGAAAGACAGGGGGTGGGGCCGCGGGAGGGGAGCTGAGGGAGGAGGGGGTGGG